ATCACTCAGCGGACACCATGTGAGCTACATATTCCCTTCAAGAACTTATCAATAAAGGTAAGCTCGTAGTTTATAGATTTTAGATTTGTCCATTCCGCAAGTTGCTGCTTATATATGTTGATTACTAATAAATAACCTCTCACCACGTGAAGGTGGCGTCGGGCATGGCCATCCCAACGAACCCTTCAGGTACTTACCACTGCAGGCCGATTCTAGCAGGATACTCCAAGGTCGAAGTTGAGTTGGTGGAAGGCGCGTACGAGGACCTCGAGTTGGATTACCCTGGAGGAGACGGTGAGACGCATCTACGAGACACAAGCCACGCCATTATACTATGGCGCAAGCGATACATCATCCTCCCTGGGCGACAAGCGGCGTCTCGTGCACCATCTCCTCCGGCTCCGCCATCTCCTCCTTAGGCTCCTGCACTGTCTCCTCCTCATGCTCCAGCACCGTCTCCACCTCAGGCTCCTGCACCGACTCCTCCTCAGGCTCCTTCACCGACTCCTCCTCAGGCTCCTACACCGACTCCTCCGCAAGCTCCTCGTCCGGCACCTTCCAAGTCAAAGGCCCCCCAAGCTCCAGCGCCTGCCCCCACAAGGGCAACGAAGAAGGCGAAACTTGACGCTACAAAAAACAAGGACCCGGGGTACGATTGCACGCAAGAGGAGCTTGACGCTTATGTGGCATCAGAAGTCAGGAGACAATTGAAGCCTCGAAGTCCAGAAAAGAAGATTCCTATAGACCCGAGTGCCAGGAACTTCTTCAGGGGTATGTCTGCACCTGCCAAGGAGGCCATAAAGCTATCGGACTATGAGCGAACACTTAAGAAAGCATCTTCTGGAAAGTCCAAACCAGTCCCTCAGCTTGGAGAGCAACCAAACCAAGAGATCGAGCCGTTGGTGACCGGTGAAGATTTTGGAATACAAGAATTTATTAATGACACCGGGATAACTACGGATCAATTGCTACGAGGCGCACCAATCAAAAAGGTGGAAGTGAAATACATATAGGAACTCGGTAAACCGCTTGTCAAGCCTGAGCAGCTGCAGTCCCTACCCACACAAATGTACAAGTTCCATCAACTGTACATGGAGATGAGCGCCACCGGTAGAGAGATGATCGGAGGGAGGATCAGGGACACGGACTTCTTGCAAGGAGATGGCATTCTCTGGATCAATTTCAAGGGTATCTACGAACTATACCAGCTGGACGCCCTCGACGTCTATATTATGAGTTGCTGGATTTTGTAAGTATCGTTCAGTTAGATTTTGTTATTACGTTTCCTTTAATTAATTAGGTCCTTGTATATAAGTAGACTATATATAATATATACTTCCTTTTATCGTTGTAGAATGGAGATTCAAAGGGCCCGACGGTGGGGGGTTTTCAATACTGGATTCATCGACCCTCGGAAAGTAAACGTCACAATGCTCGACCAGTATCCGCAAGCCACAGAGGACAATCTCGTCCATCTCCTGAAGGCGCAGCATTACAAGACGTTCATACTATTGCCGTACAACACAGAGTTAGTTTTTACTATCTTCCTATACCAAATTTCATTCCCGTACGAACATGCTAAGTGTTTCATATGTAATACATCCCACGCACATTGCAGATTCCACTGGGTCCTTTTACTCTTCGATCTGGAGGCCTGCACCGTCAACGTATATGACTCAATGGATAAAAAAGAGTCTACGTTTGACAAGGTTTTCGAACTTATAGACAGGTATTGTCATAAGTTCCTATGTTAATTAAGAATCTTGTTATAATTAATTGCTACTACGAATCATAGCTTTAAACTCCATGTAGGGCTTGGTATCGGTTCTGTCATTTGGTCCGCGGCAAATGGAGAGAAAGACTTAGGCGGAAGTTCAATTTTCCTGTGAGTACACATGCTCTACATTTATATTCAATCTCCAATTCAAATACATACAAGTGTATATTAATTAGATCTCTCGTCGTTTGTCATTTATTTATAGTGCACAAAGCAAAAGCAGGGAACTAACTTGTGCGGCTACTACGTGTGCGAGTATTGCCACTGCCTTGCAGACCAAATCATCACCACAAGAGAGCTCGATGTACATACAAATAAATTCAAAATTTCATTGCGTACGTATCGATTTGTTGTTTAATTACTAATTAATTTCATACATTCATATAGTTTATTCCCATGAGGGATAACCTGATCACACACAAGGAATTTATCGCGGCGGTTCAAGAACAACTCATGGGATTCATCAACGAACAAATCCTTGATCCCAAGGGTGAATTCTACTACGACGGAAATACAATTCATAGGTCATTAGCTTCTGAGATAACGACTACTACTACGTCGAAATCGTAGCTAGCTAGGACATCAAAATGGATTGTATTTAATACATGTCTATTTTTCTATATGCATGTACACATTTTCTTTAATGTAAATATATATTTTGGTCATATATATATATATATATATATATATATATATATATGTATATACATATATACATATATACATATACATATATATGTACATATATATATATATACATATATCTATATATATACATATACATATATACATATATGTATATATATGTATATATATGTATATATGTATATATATATATATATATGTATATATGTATATATGTATATATATATATGTATATATATATATATGTATGTATATATGTATATATATGCATTTGCATAACATATATATGTATAAATACATATATATTATTCATGTATATGTATTGAAACATATATAAATATTATATATATATATATGTATATGTATATGTGTATATATATATATATATATATATATATATATATATATATATATATATATATATATATATATATATATATATATATATATATATATATAAACCATGCAGCAACAGGGCCATGCAAAAAAAAAGGTCAGCTCGATCTTTAGTCCCGGATTGGTAGTCCCGGTTTGAAAATCGGGACTAAAGGGGGTTACGAACCGGGACTACAAACGCTTTCTCCACCAGTATATATTTATGTTCTTGTGACGTATCGTTGACACGGCCACGCATTCTAGAGGGGAAAAAAAGGCATTTATCTACAATTGTGATGGTTGCAAGTCGTATGTGAATGTGGTATGTGTGGTTGCGCCCACTCAAACATTTTGGGGGATTTGGTGGGGGTGAAGTTCAAGTCCTCGCAACGTTAAAATGGTTTTATTTTTCTTGTTTATAAGGCCTATAAATTGCTATATCAATCTAAAGAAAAATTTATATTAGAGAGATGCTTCAAAAATTGCTATATCAATCTAACGGAATATTTATATTAGAGAGATGCTTTAACTAGATATTCATTACGATGCGAAGTGAGCATATCTTAGCTGGTTAGTTTTTTTTATGGTACTAGCCTACCCAAGATTAACTCATGTACTTGACACGAGTGCTCGCATTTAAGATAAGTTATTCTTTCAGTGGTAGACGATGTACCCATCAACACGAGGTGCTCATGGTGACTTCGTCACATCTTGGGGTAGGGTGTGAGTACGTTTATACCCATTGTGACTGTAATAATCTCAAGATATGTCGGTTCAGTCTTTCAGATGTATTCATAAGGGTAGGTGCATGTATATTCATAAGTCTTTCGGAAATGCTCATAGGGGTAGGGTGCATTTACGTTCATAGGGGCAAGTGTACGCGTGTTGTGAGTTGTGACTAGGGGTGGAGCTACGTATAGCTAGGAGGTCCCCAGGAACCTAGTTCAAAACCTTTTTTTTTAGCTATAGTTTATCTATTTTTACCATATATATACCAGCCAATTTAAACTTAGGCACATGTACCAAGCTATTTTGATTCAAACCTGAGTAAAGCAAGCGAGTGGAACCCCCTTCATTTTGTTCTAGCTCCGCCCTTGGTTGTGACTGCATACGTTTGTACTATGTTATAAAAAATTAATAGGGATATGTCTATTTATTATATATGTTCTATTATTATTAAAGGGTGCAAAGAAATTGTCACAATTGTTCTCGTAGAATAAAAACGATATGTCATTCGTAAAAGGAAAATACTCCTAGATTAAACCCTACACGTTACTGTAGAAAATTTGTACGACAATTGTTAGACGTGGGGTGTATAATCTGAATTAATAGAGGAAATTAGCAATTCAATTATGCTTCAACATTGCCGCTTACACGTTACTGTATTGGAAAGTACGACAATTGGTAGACGTGAGGTATAAACTGGGTTAATAGAGGAAATGACCAATTCAATTATGCTTCAACATTGTCGGCTTGCCGCTTACGAATAAATATATATTTTATTTCTTTTTCAAGTACACGATAGATGCATTATTTATTTTTCAAGTATATACAGCAGATGCACCCACACACATCAATACATACTCAACACCACACTCAAAACAACGGAAACAAAGAAACAAATTCCCTAGTCTTTCTAAATTTTTATTGAAAGCCCACTTAATATTTATAGCCACTAGAATTTGTACCTATCTATAATTCTATCACCATACCACCCATGCTTTTCATCTTTCATCTTCATTTAGAAAATAGCTATACGTCCGACTCAAATGTGCGACGGTCAAAGGCGGTGGACATGGTATGGTCGGACATGGGTCGTACAAATCCATCATATGCATAGCAGTGCTCCTTCATTTAATATAATGTAGAGTTATATACAGGCCAATTTACCCCCAAAGTTTAAGGAGATTAGGACATTTCGATTATACTCCAACTCAATTCTCGAGTAACTTAGGTTCATAAACAACTTATGTGAATAACATTTATACCTTCCGTTACAAAATAAAAGACGAAACTGCTTCTTACTCGTTCGAATCATTCCAAAATAGTTTGTTACTATTCCAAGGAGGAATCTGAAAAACGAAGTAAAGAGAAGAGGGAGGCGCTATTTAATTTCATGCATATATACAATATTATGAAACATCGAACGGAATAGTTGTCCTAAATATGGAGGGAGTACACGATTTGTCAATTCAAAATTTTGCCAATATTAGCCCCATCGCAGTGCTTTAAATGCAAACATTCACAAAAATATTTTTCAAACAACAAATGTCATTAACCATGACATTTTCAAACAAGTTATATAGAGAGGCATATCATCAGCTGCATGCAGCAAATTAAGTGGCTGTCACTACCACACAGCTCTTTGATGCTCAATTAAATTAACAACCATAATGTATATAAATAGTCAACGATTACGCGCTGCTTAGCCTTTGACCATGGCCGTCAAATCCAGGAGGCGATCAGAAGATCACCTCGTCCACGAGTCGCTCGAACTCGGCCATGGCGGCGGCGGGGAGGCCGAGCAGCACGCGGACGCCACCGCCCTCGCCGGCGCACGACAGGAACAGCGCCACCTCCCTCTCCGGCAGCGCTGCGGGGCCGTACGCCGCGGGCGGGCCCCACCCAAAGTCGGCGGCGCGGAACGGCAGCCGCGACCACGCCGTGATCAGCAGCGTCGACGCCAGCGACGGCCGCGCCCGCGTCGCCTCGAAGTAGTCCACCGCGGAGCGCATGTACGCGTCCGTCACCGCCTCCGCGGCGCCGCGCACCAGCCGCACGGCGCGCGCGGGCGACAGCTCGCCGGCGGCGCACGCGGCGCTGGTCAGCACGATGGCGTTGCCGAAGTACCCCGCCGGGAGCGGCGGCGCGGTGAACCGCGGCCGCCCGTCCACGGCGAAGAGGAGCTTGCTCCGCCGCGCGCGCCCCATCCCCAGCGCCGCCGTGCGCGCGCTCCACACGAACCCGGCGAGCGCCTCGAACGTCGTGGGCGCGCGCCCGCCGACGCCGCCGACGCCGCCGCCGTCGCCCGCGGCGAGCGCCTTGACGCGGGCGATGGACTCGGGCGTGAACCGGAACGACCTGTGCAGGAGCGGCGGCTCGGCGCCGTCCTGCGCCGGCGAGCCGCCGCCATCGCCGTCGTCGATCTGCGCGAACTCGTGGTGCGGGAACGCGACCCGCGGCGGGTCGCGCGCGCGGAGCACGGCGCGGTCGAGCGCCGGCGGGACGGAGAGCGGCACGCCCCTCGCCGTCTCGCCCCACGAGTTGACGAACTGCATGGCGCCGACGCCGTCGAACATGCAGTGGTTGATGGCGAGGCCCAGCACGAACCCGCCGCACTTGAACTTGGTCACCTACTCCATCGCCATTAACAAGAACTCGTAGATGATTATGAGCAACAAACGCAACGATTAAGGGTGTGTTTAGTTCTTTAGACGTAAAGTTTTCGAAGTATACGGATACACATTTGAAGTGTTAAATGTAGACTAATAACAAAACAAATTACATATTCCGATTGTAAATTGCGAGACGAATTTATTAAGCTTAATTAATTCATCGTTACCAAATGTTTACTGTAGTATCACATTGCCAAATCATGACGTAATTAGGCTTAAAAAGTTCGTCTCGCAATTTACATGCAAACTATACAATTTGTTTTTTTTCTCAAATCTAATATCTCATGCATATGTTCAAACATTTGATATAACGTTTTTGCAAAAAAAAAATTTGGAATCTAAATAAGGCCTAAATGGATAATCGCATGAGAGTTCATGTACGTGCCTGAGCTGCGAGGAGGGGCATCTCGAGGACGTTCTTGGCGCCGGGGACGCTGTAGACGAGCTCGCCGAGGACGGCGGGGTCGGGGCGGGTGATGTCGCCGAGGTCGGCCATGGCGGCGTCGGCCACGGCGTCGACGAACACGGCGCCCTCGCCGGTGCAGTCCACGATAAGCTTCCCGTCGTCGGTGAGCGCCAGGCGGCCGGCGAGAGGGTAGTAGTGGACAAGGACCCTGGACAGCGACTCCCTCAGTGCGTCGCCGGCGCCGCCGCCGCCGCCGCCGCCGGCGGCCGCCGCGAAGCAGTAGACGGTCTGCACGATGACGGCGATGTTCTGGTCGAGGTTGGAGAGGTAGTAGAGCCCACCCTTCGTCTCCGCCGCCGGCGCCACCAGCGTCGGCACCCCTCGCTTCACTCCAAGCTCCACGGCGGCGGCGGCGGCGGCTTCTTGCCCCTGCAATCACCACACCACCATGATCATTGCAACATCGATCGATCGCCATATATATCAAAAAAAATGTTATCAGAATTCGATGAACAGATGGATGAACACGGATGCAAATGCACCACCATTGTTGGATTGATCGATCGGATCAGCGACGAACACCGGTGAGTGTGTGTGATCTTGGCACCAGATGAATGTATAAGAAGAGGAAGAGAAGGGGAGGGTGATGAGGTTTCATTTCAAGCCTACCATTGTCGATTTGGTCATCTCCTCTCTCCGGCGTGTGTGCAAGCAAAGCTAGGGTTGGTTGGGACATTTGGATGGAGTGAGCTGCATAGCCATTGATCCTGAGCAGAAACGCTATCTGCGTGCACGTTGCTTTTGTTTCTCCGAGTAGGTAGGAATCAAGAGGAGCTCGTCCAATGCAATGTTGTATCGTATTCCTCCGGATAAATATTTGTAGCAAATAACAGATATGACAAGAACGCAGGACAGGGATGCTGCTGTGTTTTTGTCCAGGGATCTTGCAAGTATACATATACTCCCTCCGTATTTTAATGTATGACACCGTTGACTTTTTAACCAACGTTTGACCACTCGTCTTATTCAAAAATTTTATACAAATATAAAAATACTTATGTCATACTTAAAGAACATTTGATGATAAATCAAATCTCAATAAAATAAATTATAATTTATTTAATTATAATTATGTAATACTTATGATTTATTTAATTATAAAATACTTATGTCATGCTTAAAAAAATTATGTAATTATAATTTATTTTATTGAGATTTGATTTATCATCAAATGTTCTTTAAGCATGACATAAGTATTTTTATATTTGTATAAAATTTTTGAATAAGACGAAAGGTCAAACGTTGGTCAAAAAGTCAACGGCGTCATACATTAAAATACGGAGGGAGTACTTTACAGCAAATTGAATGGAATACTACGACCTCTATATGAAAATATAGTTATTTTTAACACAATCATTTATCTTAAAATGGAACTATTTTTCACATACATCTACTCTCAAGCCTCAACCAATCACTACCATTATCCATTTAATTTTTTTTCACTTATTGTCTCTCCTCAACAAATCATAAACTTCATCAAATCATTCTCACATATTTCCTTAATACCCTGCCCACCTCAAAAACGATTATACATTCTAAGACGAGGAAAGTAGATCTTTAGCGAACTGGATGGATTAGATCACCTAACATGGTATTCTAGATTCAAGGACAGCAAAAATTCCAGTTTAATCAGACAAGAAATGTTTCATGGATCATCAGGGAAAGGAGCAGATTTTACTTCACCATCAACAATAACATATGGCATTCCATATTAATCACTGGATCACATTGCAATTAAGAGATTTTACCACATAAAATCAGCTCATACTCACAGATGGCACTTATTAATTCGGAACCATAAACTGCAGCACAGCACCTCGATACAGATGCCCCTTTGCTCCAGAGCCCATGTTGGTTCCTGAAATGACCGATATCATTTCCTCAACAAATCCTCCTGAACATCCTGGCAAGGTGGGCAGATGAGAGTTGACACAAGAACCAAAAATTCCAAATTCACTGTTTTACATGGATAAATGGAAGGAACAGGCAAAGAATTATTCTGCATATTACAGTCAGGCTAGCTACCTAAGCAAAGTTATAACAGCACAGCTATTGTACATGACCAGCAACTAGACTACAAGTCACACCAAAGTCAAGCACAACAACTAGGTGTGTGTGGCTATCAAATTGTTAACAACCTTGTACTACCCCCAGGTCACCAGTTCATTGTTGCGGTGCCCTCATTGTACAGACCCAACACAGCCCAAACGGCAATGTTGGGCTAGAAAGTCCTGCATCCATAACACTAACACAAGCGACCATCACATGTGGTCCGCTGAATTACTTCTCGTCACCATCAGCATCTTCCTTTGAATTTTCCTCCTTAGCATTTTTGTCTTTGTCATCTTCAGCATTGTCTTCCTCACCTTCCTCATCATCAGACATACTATTTATTACTTCCTCAATAATGTGTTTCACCTCTGATTTCCTATCCATGAGGTCCATCTTAAAATGAGTACCTACAGTGAAAATAATAGCAACCTATGTCAGTACATTCATATAGATAAGGAATTTCTGTAAAGTAACATTATATTTCAACTTTATCCAAATGTACAATGGAAATTAACAAAGAAGAAAACAAGTGAGTACCTAATTGCCGAAGAATATCTGCCAATGTCGCCTACAAGATAATATAAACAACAGTAAGCATACAAAGCTGGCCAAAAAAATTGTGCAGATCATAACCATTTGCTTACCGTATTGAAGTCAACTTCCTTCAATATGTCACTAACAACAGCATGCAGCTCTTCAGTGGTTGGGGCTGCCCCAGCCTCTGTGCTGCCTTTTCCTTTTCCTGTAGAGCAAGAGATGGTGTGTGACTATGCTTGACAATATAGGAAAATCGATTACAAACTAAATGAGCATATACACTCATGTCTTGCATGTCAGCCAAATGTTCACAAGTTCTACAAAAATTAGTTACATAGATTACAATGGCATGTCCAGCCACAAACAGGCAATACTGGATTAAATCTATGTCTAAGAACAGAACACAAATTTGGATATGAACAGTGTCAGTGCTATGCCTATCATATCAATGTTGTTAATTTTTTCAGAGTTTTTATAACCATTTGACTGATATTTGATGAGTGAGAAGCAAACGGGGGCACATGCACAAGTTGTAAAATTCCAACTCCCTACAATCTAATAGTTATAGTTGGGTATTTTTTTCAAAAACATCTAAAATGTACTCTTGAAAATCAAAATAAATCCTCCAGCAGAAATTATTTGGACAAAACAACTGAGTACAATTTGTACGGCTGTACCTTTATTTTTATTGGTTGTCTTGGCAGCATCCTTCTTGCGTGCCTTATTGTTCAATGCACCAGAATTATTGTTCTGGCCATCTTTTCCTTCATCCTTTTTGGATTTAGAAGCCTTCTTGGTGGTTTTATCTACAGTAACATCACTCTCCTTTGAACTCTTTGAGACTTTTTTGACAACCTTTTTGCTTTCTAACTCAACTTCTGGCTCATCATCTTCTTCAGTGTCTTGAGAAGGCTTAGACACACCTTTTGCAGGTCTTGTAGAAGCCTTCTTGGCAGTCGCATCCTTTTCTTTTGCCTTTTTTGTTTGTTTATCATCTGTTGCCTTTTTCTTTGCTGGAGGCTCATCAGGTTCTTCATCACTCCCAGCATTATCTTTTGCTTCAGAATCCTCATCATCTTCCTCACCCATTGATGCATCCTCAGAATCAGCAGGACCCTCATCGTCTTCATCGTCATTCTCTTTAGCAGCTTCAGTTGATTGCTTTCGACTCTTTCTCCTTTTCTGTTTATAAAGACAAACATCAGGAGTCAGTACAAATTAACCACTACAATAAAGAGGATGGCTTCGAGAGGCTAGCTTTGGCTGATAATTAAATATTACTAAATATATTAATAACTCTTAAAACTAAAGCTAACATCTAGTCAATATAATGTTAAAATGTTAGTAGTGGTGGTGTCCACTCCCACACTACCCCTACCACCTTTCAATGAGTCGTCTCCCGTTTCACTATTGGCTCTCCCCAAATTTCAAAAAATCACCTACTTGTTTAATAAGGAAAATCGTATTATTACTTGGACTAAATGAGTGTTTATTAATTGATTTAATAAGGTAGAAACTCAATTTGTTTTCTGTTGCAGTATATGTACACAGTAGAGTATAGAAACTCAATTTGATTTTATAAATGCTTATCAATTTGATTTAATAAGATGAGAATATATGTAGACAGCAGAGTATAGAATATTAGACACCTAGCTGAAAAACAAAATGAAAGCACACAATAAGTGTTTGGCTATAGTACAAAAATTGCTGTGTAAAGATAGTGAAAAATGAAATTCCTTAGTCTTGACTAATAATAATAATATTTATTTTTTTCTTCCAAGTATGCATATTTTGTTTCACATTTCATAAAACAATCAACAGGATGATTTAATCCTATGGTCCAAAGAAATGATAGTGACCTCAGCTCCCTATCTGCCTATGGTCCAAAGCATATTGGAAGTGTGGCTTAAAAAACAGACTGAACCAGCAGTTGACTGGAATAAAACAAACAGCAAATTCTGTCCTCATGATTCCCATCAGAAGATGTATCATGCAACCAGAGCAATTGCACACAAAACCAGGAAGCTTTATTGTATACAAATATGTAGACGAGCCACATGGAATTGCATAATCAAGTTGGCCACAAATGACAAAACCCATGTTGCACAAGCAAAGGGAGGCTTAGGTTTGATGGAAACCTCAACTTTGACCATTTCACCACACAAACTACTGTTCTCAAACCGCTCTCATTATCTCCCCCAACTCCTACATATTCCTTACCAAACCCACCATGACCTACTGTTTTCCACAGCAAAGAATAATTGCATAAATCCTGCAAATGATATTCATGACTTCATCGTCTACCAGGCCCAGATAAATGATCTTCATGACTTCATCGTCTACCATGAAAATCAGCTTTATGTGACAGTTCAACAGCAACTCTACTTTGTTAGTGTTAAATATCACTGAATAACATTCTATAGACTAAGATCACATGTATGTTATGTGAGATTAGGCTCTTAAGTCCCTAGCTTAAGACATAAAGTCTACCCTGGATTTTAGGCCCCTTTTTTACCTTAGTTCCATATATTTTTTGTACGTATCAGAGATTCATTGATTATTCAGCTTTGGCATAAACTTTTCCAATTTTAGTACTTCTGCTAATAACATTTCAGAATAATAACCAGATGGTTTAATTACAACACATGTCAAATTCTGGATGGTTCATAACAGTAACCACAAATGAATAGCCAAACATAAATAGAAACCCACTTTATTCTAACACACTAAGCAACTTAATGATGCACAGCACCAGACTTCAGCAGACACCAGAAGGCGAGACATGATATATGGTTTTTTTTTCTTGGCAAACCCGTAGGTGGAAAATAATACAACATTTTCAAGCCACTTGGCACCAAGGGATGTTACCTTCCCATCAGAAGCGCCTTCAGCAGTCGCCTGGCCATTTCCTTTAGATCTCCTTCCACGTTTCTTCCCTTTCTGCAAGGGCAATGAAAATTAGCAATACTTCAACCTAGAAAAGAAGACTCAGCATTGATTAGATTATGTACCTTATCATCAGTGAGAACAACATCTCTAGTGATGCAAGGGGACTCCAAAAATTCCAGTAATTTGGCAGAGACTTCCTCCTGAAGTACAACAAAACACATGGGTATTGCTACAGGATTTATTACATGGACCATAAAACGAAATGAAGCTCAGCCAACTAACCTTCTTTGTGGCTGCTCTGGAAACATGTATATCAAGGATTTCACAAAAATCCAGCAACTTCTCCTTGTTAAATTTGTCAAGCTTTTCCTTTATCCTGGTCCTTTGTTTTTCCTGAGAAAGATTTCAGGCAGACATACCAAAAAATAAAGCTCAGCATGTATAAAAATAAAATTGTTTCACA